CTCCCTTTCTTCTCTCCTTTTCTCTCTCCTTCTCTTCTCTTCTCCCTCTCCCAACCTCCAACTCCTCTCTCCGCTTTAACCTCCTCCAACTCCCCAACCCCTAATTCCCCCAACCCCCCAACCCCCCAACCCCCCCACTATAGGGTGGCCCCGACACCCAAAGGCTATCAGCAGAGAGTGTCGTCGTGCTGTTCGAATGTCACGGCGGAAAGAAGGAAGGGAAGGAAGGAAGTGGAGGGAGGAAGGTGGTAGGTAGGAGAGAGGGAAGGAACTAGAGAGGAAGGAGGAGAGGGGAACTAGAGAGGGGAGAGGGAGGGTTAGGAAGGGGAGGGAGGGAGGTTAGGAAGGAGGGGGGAGGGAGGGTAGGAAGGAGGAGACTGGGTAGGGAAGGAGAGAGGGAAGGAGGAGGAAGAACGGAAGGAGTTAGGGAGGGAAGAAGGAGGGGAGAGGGTAGAGGGAGAAATGGGAGAGAGGAGAAAGTGGAGAGAGAGGAGAGTGAGAGAAGAGGGAGAAAGTGAGAGGAGAGGAGAAAGTAGAGAAGAGAGAGACAGCAGAGAAGAGAGGGACAGATCAAACAGAGAGACAGGACAGACAGACAGACAGAGGGAGACATTTGAGAGAGAGGAGAAAGAGAGAGAGACAGACAGACAGGAGAGAGACAGGAGGAGAGAGAGCAGAGAGAGGCGAGAGAAAGAGAGAGAGACAGACAGACAGAGAGAGAGAGAGAGAAGTGAGAGGAGAGAGAGAGAGAGAGAGAGAGAGAGAGTAGAGAGAGAGAGTAGAAGATAGAGATGAAGAGAAGGATAGGACGAAGGAGTTGCCACTTTCTCGGTGATGGGGGGATCCGTTCGCCGCGCCGCTCTGATGAGCAGGCTTGTCTTTCGTTCAAAACCTCGTCCTCATTTGTTCTTTTTTTCTTTCCCTTCTTTCCTATTTATCCCTCCTTCTCTTATTCCGCTACTGCTGTCGTTGTTCTCCTCCTGTTTTCTTTTCTTTTCTTTCCTCTTCCTTCCCTTGCTGCCTTCTCCTTCAATCCTTCTCTTTC